GAGAAGAAGGTGGTCGAGGCTCCTGTCCCGTCGTTGCTGCATGTGAGGGTTTCAATGATGAGAAGGAGAGCTCTGGTGTCGTAGATGATAAGAAGTAAGAGATCAAATAAGGGGATGGAGGAGTAAATGTTGGGAAATTAACTGGTGCCACTTTTCCATCATTAATATCTCTCCCCCTCCTCTTCATCCTCCCTATTTCCCCTCCCTCTTCTTCGTGTATCTTCCTTTTTCCAAGTGGCTCTTGTGGTCAAACAAGCTGCGCGCACTTAAAGAAAACAACTTCTTTGTCAATAACATCCTATTGGTGACTTATTTTTATTTATTTATTTATTTATTTATTTATTTATTTATTTATTTATTTATTTATTTATTTTTATGTTTTCAGCAATAGTAACAGTGAAAAGTTAGTCTTTGCGGGTTCTCCACTCTCGGGGAAAGAGATAACAATAATCTGCCAAACATTTAACACTTAATAGGCCATTGTCGTTATGGATGGAGGTCATTTATGTCCCGCGGCGCGCCCACCTCCAGCAGGTGATCCTGATGTCGCAACGTGTCAGCGGTGGCCTGACATAAGTGTAATAATAGTTAATAGAGCGTGATCGAGAGAGTGGCGTTAAAATCCAACACAGACGTGTCAGAAAAGCAGCAAAAGTCTGCGTCTTCATTAGCTCCATCTCCAAGGACCGTCGAACATTTCATTAGTGCGTAATTTATGAATGTTTGACAAATATTAAAGAGTATGTAAATACGAGAGGCGTAATGTCTTTCCTGCGGGAGGTGGCGAAATGACCCAGAGTACGTGGATACTGCTAGACTGATCACAGGCATTACGCGTCTCCTCAAACTGTGCGTCTGCGCGTCTGTGCGGCGCGCGCTTCCCCATCTGACGGGTGAAATAGTGCAGATAAAGCAATGATTCATAATGCTGGCAGCATTTGCATCTTCTAATACTCGGTATTATTTTGATATATGATGATATACTGTCTGTTCGCGGCGCGCGTGCGAGCGCACGTTTTGCCATTATGGCGCTGGTTAAACCAGTAGGAGGGTTTTTGGTCTAAGACGGTTCATTTCCCCGACTTTGTGAAGCACTTCCAGTTCAGAGGCATGAATGTCCTGTACATCTATTTATTTATTTATTTATTTATTTATTTATTTATTTATTTATTTATTTAAAGTGGCTATAGGCTCTTGAGATGGAGACGTGCGATTCAAGATGCGAGGGGTTTGGATACGATATCTTTAAGTTTTAGTTAAAGTTTTGTTTTTGTTTTATTTGGTTTTTTTATTTTAAATTAAAATAACAAAATATGTCATGATGACTTCAATTGTTGCAAAAGCGTGACTAAAAGATACAAGAAACACAAAAAGCGTTACAACAACAGCAGCAATAATAATAATAATAATAATAATAATAATATGTCATATAAATGTATAACTTTTTTCTTCTTGATACACAATGCTATCGATGTTTATATCAATAAGCACAATAATACAAAACAAAGTAAAATATTATCAATTAACATTTTCATTTCAAACACCCCTAGATTTATTTTATTCAAGTTGAGTTAAAGCTTCAAAATAAAAGTTATGTGCAGAATTTTGCTCACTGACAAAATTAAAATGGTTTAATGATAAAATGATAAATGATGCATTTTTTATGTAGAAAAAATCCTGCAGCAACATGAAAGTAACTATTGAGACCTCGCAAACAATATATTAAAACTAAATGCTCTTTTGTTTGATTAACTCAAGTGTAAAAGCATGTCTAATAAAATATGAATGTAAAACTAAAACCAGGTTTCTGTAAATAATAACGTATAGAATCTAAACAGAATAAAAAGAGGAGGACTCATGAGGTGGTTAGTCTGTTTCCTATTTGAATTTTATTTTAAATCTTAATATTTTAAATGTTTTATACAAAACACAATCCACAACAGATTTGTGGGCAACTTCCTCGATGACACTAAATCCGAGAGAATAAAACCACAGAAGTAGCCTATAGTTGGGACCAGGTCGCAGCAACAAGTACTCGTGCGCAACATTCTCGCGGGACTAACGGAAGTCATCCCGGGTCGTGGCTAACTAGATAGTCCTCAGTCCAGACCGCTGCATCAAATGAGAGATCTCACATCAAAAGAGGGCAAATAAGCGGCTCGCTGATTCACTTCACGCAGCTGCATTGAGAGGAAGGCCAACAGGCGCATCAGAGGCTGAAAGGGAGCTGCTATTCAGAGCGCAGGTGTGAAGTATGTGGCACATTCTGCCATATAAAATGGAGGTGTGTGTGTGTGTGTGTGTGTGTGTGTGTGTGTGTGTGTGTGTGTGTGTGTGTGTGTGTGTGTGTGTGTGTGTGTGTGTGTGTGTGTGTGTGTGTGTGTGTGTGTGTGTGTGTGTGTGTGTGTGTGTGTGTGTGTGTGTGTGTGTGTGTGAGGAGAGAGAGAGAGAGAGAGAGAGAGAGAGAGAGAGAGAGAGAGAATCCTAAAGTCTGAGGAAATGATGAAAGCAGAGGAAGCAATCTATAAGATCTGATGGTTTAATTCTGTTATTTATTATTATTATTTTCCTGCGTCTTGACTTATCTCACGTGCCATTTACAAAGAAAAACGTAAGGTGGGTGGTGCGCGCGCGCAGCCCAAAGCCGGCCTGCACACCTTCTTTTTATAAGCGCGAGTACAGTTAATTCAGCTTTAAAGGCCGTCATAAATCTTTATGACGGAAGCCCGTGCTGGCCAATATATCACAGCCTGCCTCACCCCCACCCCTCGGAAACCTAACCTAGGATGGTATCAGAGTGAAATATTCAATATTCGTGACAGGCTTTATGGCTGGAGTTAACTCGTGAGGGTGCGCATAGTTTGCCTTTTGACCTCTCTTTTTGCGCACTCAATCAAAGTCCGTGATTTACGCGCGCTGATGATAATAGGAATCATAACAATCCGTTTTTATCTCAATATACGTGATTATAATTAGTCAAAATGATTATTGATTTTACTATGACGTCATTAAGTCTGGGTTTTCTTTTTGCACCTGTCCCTCCCTTTCTTTCATTATTTTTTTCACTTCCTTGCCAATTTCGACCACTCTGGTAATTATGACCTGGTTGTTGTTGGAGGTGCTGTTGGAGCGTGGGGTGGGCGTGGAGCACGCAGAGGGGGGAGGTGAGGGGAGAGGAAGGAGGAAGGTGGAGAGGGGGGAGCCTTTTTACTCCAAGACTGCTAATCCCCCTATTAAAGGGGCTTTCTTCAATAATGCCGGACAGTTTCCGGAAGTCGGATTACCGCCTCCATTATTTTACAAAGAAATGATATTTCACACTCAAATGAGCCTCATAGAACGCGGACCCGGCGGTGACAGGCTCCTGCAAGAAAATGAAATAGATTCATTTTCTTTTTGTAGCGCTTTGGAAGTTAAAAAGACACCCCCCCCCCTCCCCCCTCTTCTCCTCCCATCTCTCCCTCTTTATCCTCACCCCTTCTTCTAGTCCTGACCGCCATCTTTTTTGTGTTTGACGTGAATATGTAGCCATTTCCGGTTGGGGCCACAGGTTTCCTTTTTGCTTCTTGAGCGGACGCGCATCAATGCGGGCTCTATCGCACGCGCACCTGTGCATGAGGTTTGACTTAAAAGCTGAAGATCCATACTGTTCATTTCTGTTGGAAGTTTGAGTATAAAGTAAAAAATGACTATCACGTGACACACACACACACACACACACACACACACACACACACACACACACACACACACACAGGCTCTAATTTATTATTATTAAAAACAAATCTATTTATCATGACTATAAATAATAACTTTTTATACGTTTTTTTCTATATGTTTCTGACCTTTTTTGACCATTTAAATTGAGTAAAGAAGAGCTCTGATAGAAACTTCAAGTAAACATTTAAGAATCTTTCTATTATTTTTTTATTTGTTTTTTATTTATTTCCCCTCTTATTTCATAGGCTACAGAAGTTTGTGCAAAAATAACAATATAATTGTTATTATTTTCCACTTTGCCCAAACTGAACTAAACTTTTGAAACACACCAGAGAGCATCAGCTGCTCAAGCACACACACACACACACACACACACACACACACACACACACACACACACACGCACGCACACGCACACGCGCACACACACACACACACACACACACACACACAGACACACACACACACACACACACACACACACACACACACACACACACACACACACACACACACAGCAGAGCTTTCCTCTGCCCTAAACTGAAATTTACAGACCCGATTTCTCACCCAATGAAACAATAAATCTTCTTATGTATTCAATAATTCATAAAAAGTGTTCCTATCTGCTCAGAAACATGAGAACAGCTGAGTTCCTCCTTCTGCAGCAGCTCGGGCCTCTTTGCAAGGCAAGCCCATTATGGTTCGGAACAACTGCGCTCCAGCGGCTCCTCTTTGATTTCCCTAAAGTAGGCCTTGAGCAAAAGAATATATTTTTCTCTTCTTTCTATTCTGTGGTCTGCAGCATAAAGGACACAGATTACCGTTTCCGACCCCATGGGAAGCAAATATTACATTCTTTAGAGAGCGCTTTAGAGTCCGCGGACTTGGCCCCATATCGTTTGAGTTTGACTTGGCTGTTGCTTTAGAAATCTTAATTCACCATGAGGATTCACCGTCGCGAAGGAAAAAAACGCTTCTTTGTGGAAAACGGGCTTTGAAGTCTGGATCCGAATATTCTAGCCTTTCATCAAACTCTGTCTGCAGCTCAGCTGAGTAAGTAAGATTTAACACAACCTCCTCTTGCAGCAGGAAAAGCTACAAACACACGTTTGTTTCTATTTTTGACTTTTGAGTTTTAGTCTAAATAAGATGCTTATTTTAACAGATTTCATAATAATCTGTGTTTCTCCTGATTTATTCATTAAAAATTTAAAGCTTTGCTAAAGAAAAGCAAAAATAAAAAAATGTTTTACAAATTTACTCCAAAAATAGCAGCAGAATTCTCACTTTCATACAAGATTTATTCAAAATACTCACAAATTACAAGGCAGGTTCGGTTTCAGCTCCAATAAAAATAAAAACATTGACGACGAAAATACAAAATTCACAATTATTCCCCTTCCCCCGGATTCATAAAACATTTAGAATAATTCACGATCGTTTTACCAAGTACTGTATAAGCTCATGAAAACAGCTGGTTTGATTTTCTTACCTGTTTGTTTGTTTTTTGTTGCACTAATAATAAAAAAAAATGTAAACATAAAATATTTGTACAAAACGCTCTGAGACAGATTCTTACAAAACACCAACACATCAAAGGGGAGAGAAATGTATAAAAATGTACAAATGTACAGCGTTCTGCTCGAATTGGAACATGCACTTTGGTTCATGATACAAAAATTACTCAATATTAGGTCGAAAAATAAATAGGGAAAAAAATAAAATGAGGAATATACATTTTTACAGCATCATGTCAGGATGCAAGTTCTGGTGGAATTGCACCACTTTCTCTGGACCAATAAAAATGGGCAAAATTGTCTCTGAAGTTTGCGCATTTTCCTTTCCAAGTTCTCTCAAGTGCGTCTGTTTGCATTTGGAAGCTTATTTGGTGCCAACTAATAAAAATAACAATATAAATGTGTCTGGGGGGGCACAACAGGCACCAAAAGCTGGTTTAAAACGCGTCCCTCTGCGGTGGGTTCCTGTACGGAGGCTCCTCCACGGGGTCGGGGGTGGACTGGCCGCTGGGTGGTGTTTGGGCGCCGCTGGCACCAGAGCTGTGACACACGTACCACTCGCTTAAATTGGCCGGCTGAGAGGTTCCAACCGGCTCCGACAGCAGCGAGGAGCCCCCGGGCTCCCGGCCCAAGTCTGAAGAGGGGGACACCAAGGAGGGGGTGGAGGACTCGTAGCCCGAGCTGGGCGGAGGGGACTTGCAGTGCACCTTCATGTGTTTCCTCAGGGAGCTCGGGTGCGTGTAGGACTTGTCGCAGCCTCTCACTTTGCAGTTGTAGGGTTTGTCGCTGGTGTGCACGTGCGAGTGCTTCTTCCGGTCGCTGCTGTTCGCAAAGCGTCTGTCGCAGCCGTCAAACTCGCACTTGAAGGGCTTCTCACCTGTGCAGAGAAAATCAGTGGCTTTAACACTCGAAGGGCAGAAAAAAACTATGAAAATGTTCATTTCTTTACTTTTTTTCATGTTGAGCAGAAATAATATTATACTTTATTATAAAGGGAATTAAAACACAATACGAATATAATCAATTTCTTCTTAAAACATCTGTGTGTTTTTAAAATTCTTCAAAAAGACTAAAAACATGTCATTCAAATGGTTAAAAGACGAATTAGAACATCATCTCATGCGTGCAAATAAAGCGCAAAGAAAGTAAAAATACGCACACAACTTCGCCCAAACAAGCTTTTTTGCACAAGGGAGAACATTTTAGCGATGTTTTAACCGGATATTCTTCTATCTTTTTTTTGTTGTTGCCAATTTTCTTGCTACAAACTCTGTTGCATGAAAACTTACTTGTAAACACAAGGTCCGAACGCGTTTGTGTACGTCAAAAAGACCAAATATGCGCAAAACCGCTGAAAACTCTCATATTATAAGCCAATCTGCTGCTGGGAGTCCAATATATATATATATAAACATAGCTTCGTTTTCGTAATATCTGATTATGTGACGAGGCAGAAAAGAAAGAAGGAGAAAAAAAGACAACCTGAATAAATTACACGGAAATCATCCGCTGCTGATTTTTCTCCTCCGATTAAAGCTTTTGAGAATATGTAATTGCCTCTGTCTAATTACAATTGCGGGTTGAATATCAATTTGACCTTCAGCTGTTGGGTTGAGAGAGCCAATCAAGGATATTAGTGTCGTACAAGAAACCGTCGAGGAACAGACCCCAGGGGCAGCCCCCAGTCATAACCACACTTTCGGATAGGTTTTAAACATGATACGAGAGACCAGGCCCCTCGGGAGTCAACACACAGAAATAATTTAACAGATTTGTACTTGGGTAATGTGAGCAAATGATATGAATAATACATATGAGGAAGGAGGAAGGAGGGGGTGCAGAAATGGGGACGAAGGAGAGCGACACGAGAAAGGATAAAAATGGATGCATGAGCGTGAATTTGAGGCCTTTTTCGTCTGTCTTGGTTCCATCAGGCAGGCAGCCATGTTTGACCCATCAGATCTTTTAAATCCGCGTGCAGGAATGCCAGCACTGTTTTGGTAAATCATTCTGCACGTGTCAACTTGTTGCTTAAATCCACAATCAGCTTCCAAAATAAAGGTCTGGATGCATTCAGTGGAATTAGTTTTAAATGAACGTAAATGTGGGTTTTGGTTTGCAGAAGCGTCATGCCCATGCGGCTTTTTCATGCTTTTAGAAGACATGACGTGGGCCCATGGCTTTGTGTTGTTGATGTAAACAAGAGGTCGAGCCGTCAAACGCACGAGTGAGCTGCAGCCTGCACCTTCCTGAAACTTGGGAGCAACTGCTGCAAAGCAACAAACAGGTGGAGCGAGTCTGCAGTCTTGAACGCACAGATTCGATAAAGGCGTAAAGTTAGGAATCAAATTATGCAAATCGTGTTTAAAGATAACTTACAATTAGCTTGTATTTAATAATTCACTTTTCCCATTAAATCCCTTTTTAGTTTATGTTTTCTCGACACATTGATGTGATAAATCCGTGCACACTGACCTGTGTGAGTCCTTTTGTGGATCTTTAGATTCTCGGACCTGGCGAACACCTTCCCGCAGCCAGGGAACGGGCACGGGAACGGCTTCTCTCCGGTGTGCACCCGAATGTGATTCACAAGTTTGTATTTCGCTTTGAACGGCTTTCCTTCCCTCGGACACTCTTCCCAGAAGCAGATGTGGTTCGCCTGCTCGGGTCCTCCGACGTGCTCCACCGTCACGTGCGTGACGAGCTCGTGCATGGTGCTGTAAGTTTTCGAGCAGAGTTTCTTGGGCGAGTGCTCCGGCTCCAGCCACTTGCAGATCAGTTCCTGCTTGATCGGCTGCCTCATGTAGCGGAAAAACGCCCCGGCGCCAGGGTGGTGGTGGTGGTGGTGGTGGTGAGCGCTCAGATTCATGTTCAGATTCAGACCTCCGTAGCCATGCAGAGGCGAGGCGGAGAACGGATCAGCCCTGGAGCTTGCCACTTGACTCAAGTGATCAGACCGAACGTACATGTCTCCAGGTAGTCCTAACCTTATTTGTCCATTCAGCGCCGGGCCACCCGGGGATCCGCTGGAGGGCTGCTCGTGGTGGAGTCCGGAGAAGAGGGTGGTGTGGTTCCCAGCGTCGGGGTGGTGGCCATAGTGTCCGGGATAGCTACCTGTTGTTGAGACAAACATTCCGTGGTGAGAGGCTGAACCAGCAGTCTGCTCGGCGAGCGCTGGCATGGCTTGAGCCGTCAGATCTCTCCGGATGAGGAAGTCCCTACCTGCGGATAGAGCCTGGGCCGACATGGAATACGGGACCGACGTCGCCTGAACCGGGCCAAAAGCTCCCGTTTGACTGGAGACCACTTCGCTGTGGCCTGCCATATGATGATTGTGGTGGTGGTGATGGTGGTGGGGATAATGATGGGCTGGGCTGATTTTGAGGGCCGCGGAGTGCCCCATGTGTTCTGGCCCGAATGGACTCGGCCCCAGGCGGGGTTCCGCAGTAATCTCCCCAGGGTGCGCGTGAGCCATTGAGTGTGGATAGCTGCTGAACCCCGGGAAGCCTGTCACGCTCTGAGGGGTATGGTGGTGATGATGGTGATGGTGGTGAGCCCCTGCCAAGTCAACTAATCTCAGCGCCGTGTTCCGTTTGGAAAACGCAGGGTCCATCACGGGGCTTCCCAAAGCATCCACGCTCATTACTTCCTAATTTTAGAATAACTTGACAGCAGGCAAAATAATAATGATGATGACAAATATATTTTAATCGCAATGACAAATAAAAGGGAAAAAAAGAGAAAAAAAACTTTTTAAAGTTAAGTCTATCTGCAGACAACATGGAATCCCATTCGGTTGAGAGGCAGCAGCAGGACGCTTTGATACTGAATAGAGATTCATGGTAGGCGCTGCAGCCCGTGGAGCTAAACAATCACCCCGCGCTCTAATTGGTCAGAGCGCCGTGATTGACGTCACCGGTGACAGTTTCCAACGTGATGAAAAATGTCTTGGTGACAGCGAGTGGCCAGTGCGCTTGCGCAGAGCTGGAGGGAGGAAAAATAACTAGTTATTGTTTATTATAACTCATAAAAATACGTTCTTGTATGTATTTAATTCGCTTTTTTCTTTTCCAAAAATCTGCCTCGGTCACACAGTGGTTTGTGCAATCTTAGGAGTGTGCAGAGTGGGCACGTTGTTCCTATAAAAGTTGTGCGGATCATAAATAATGCAGTGATATCTTCATTTAGCGCTACGGCACTTGCTAAGCCACTTTTACGCACATAATTACGCACACATTTACGCATAGAAGAAATCGCCTGCAAAGCACAGCCAAACTTGTGCTGAGACGAGCTCCGTCATAGGAAGGGTTTAAAATAGAGCAAAGAAATGCGCGCTTAGAAATTTGCATAAGCGCTCCTCCGTCCTGCAGCGCGTCCCGAATCCGCTCTGCTCCGTCAGATCCGGGTGTGTGGAGAGAACAAAGCAAGCCCCGGTCCGTTCCGTGTAGGAGAGAAAGAGAGAGAGAGGGGGGAAATGGAACGGACGGGACCTGTTGTTGATCCGGGGTGGTTTCGTTTCAGACCCAGGACGGCAGCAGACGAGGGTCATAGGAGGTGGTCTCGTGGCAGCTCAAAATAAAACAGTGTGTGCTGTAAGTATCGGTTACAACAGATTTCAAAAGTGGACCCAGAAGTATTTTCTGCTCTGGTTTGATTCTTAGAAATAGGATTTTATTCTTTGATTGTAACTTTTATTCATACTGTTTGCTATTGTTGTTGTTTCAGTGCGTAAAATCGGGGGGGTGGGGGGGGGGGGGGCACATTTACGTGCAGATCTGGACTTCAGTAGGCCTGACTTTGTCCTAAATATCAATGCTGTACTTTGACTAATTTCTCTTAATATCTAAAAAAAAGATCTTTTTGTCTTGTGAGTTAAAATTTTGCTTAGTTGTGTCTTTTTTATGTTCTGAATAACCTTTAACTTTTATGACTGTGGAGGAAAAGTGAGAACAGTTTCAGATTACGTTAATTTCATGTTTGGATGTTTTTGTTTTCTGACTTGTTGGTCAAGTTGAAAAAGTAAAGAAATGAAATAATTATCTCATCAGAACGCATTGGTTTTCCGTTTACTTAGTTTTTACAAATTGCCCAACTGTTTTTAAGATGACTTGCATGTCAGTAAAACTCTGAAACTCAAATAATGAATTTATTTACACAAATCAGCATCAAATTCAAGTTAAAAACGTATCTGTTGTGATGTTTTCCATTGAATTACCACGTCAATCTCTTCACTGACAGCATCTCTATCAACACTAAATAATCCGAGTCAATATTTAGAGAGGTGACGGATCCCAAAGATGTTTATTAAAAGGCCTCCGCGGCGCGCGCGACCTAAGCGAGGCGCACAGCTGCAGAAATCAGACGCAGCACATCAGCAGCGTGCGTAATGCAAAACTAGGGACAGTTATTTCTGGTGTGTGTGTGTGTGTGTGTGTGTGTGTGTGTGTGTGTGTGTGTGTGTGTGCGTGCGTGCGTGTGTGTGTGTGTGCGTGTGTGTGTGTGTGTGTGTGTGTGTGTGTGTGTGTGTGTGCGTGCGTGTGTGTGTGTGTGCGTGTGTGTGTGTGTGTGTGTGTGTGTGTGTGTGTGTGTGTGTGTGTGTGTGTGTGTGTGTGATCGTAAAAAGGGAAGTTTGCTGCTTTAGTGTCGCTTTTACGGCAAACAATAATACAGTGAAGGTGAAATTGTAAAAAAGTAAACTACTTGTAGAGTTTAGGCACCATTTAGAGTGTTTTAACTTAAAATGTGTGTTTTAAGTAGTTTTTGTTGCAATTGAGCTCTACTTGTTGCATGTTTATCTCCTCACACCTGTTCAGAAGTATTTTTTTATAAAGCAGATCAGGAAAACTCCAAGCTGGGATTGTAAAGTTGCAAAGAAACAAACTGATCTTCCCTCTCTCTCCTTATGGGAAAATCGTTTTTTTTCTTCGAGTGACTCGCAGGTTTGTGCACGTGGCTTTGATCTCCAAGCAGCCGCGGTTTCCTGCAGCGAGCACCTCAAAACACACATGATAACTACACCAAAACCAGGGGCGGATTTAGGACTGAAGAAGATCCGGGGCTTAACACACACGCGCGCGCACACACACGCGCGCGCACGCGCACACACACGCATGCGCGCACACACGTGACACGCACTAGTCAACATCATATATATTTGTCTTGTACCACATAATGTTTAATCTGAAGCTACATATTCAGCATATTCAGGGCAGAGTATTGTTCCTGTTAGTGTTTAGTGTGAGATGATAGTAAATATTCCCTTTCTTTCTCCATCAACTTTACCTGATAGTAAGCTAACTTTAGACAAACCAGCAGCACAACAAATATTTTCAAATAAGACTCACAAACCTGAGTCAACACCAGTCTCATCAGAGCTGGGGTTCTGTCGTTGTACTTTTGGTCTAAAAAAACGTCCTTATATCCATCTTCACTCATGCGTTTCAGACAGAGACTGCAGAAGCCAGCTGCTGAAGGGCTTCTCTTCAGTCTCAGGTAAACTGTATACTGACTAAGTAGCCTAGTGGTAGAGTGTCTGCCCTGAGATCGGGAGATCAGGGGTTCGACTCCTGGTCGGGTCATACCAAAGATTTTGAGAAAAATGGGACCCAATGCCTCCCTGCTTGACACTCAGCATTGGATTGGGGTTGGATTGGGGGGTTAAACCACCAAATAGTTCCCGAGCGCGGCGTGTCTGCAACTCAGGGGATGGGTCAAAATCGGAGAATAAATTTCACCACACACCTGTGTGTGTGACGACTAAATGGGACTTTACAAACTACTGCCAGCTGCGCCCTCTCTGTGTGACTTTGGTACTGCATGTTACTTCCGCGATTTAGATCCGGGGCTTATCATGAAAGATCCGGGGCTTCAGCCCAAGTAGCCGGGCCTAACGCCGCCCCTGACCAAAACCACCACAACGTAACGCACAGGTCGTGATGCATCACTACAAAGGACGGAGGAGTTGCACGAGCACAAACAACCTAAATTTCAAAAATGGTTGCGTTGTAAACACTGCCTGTAGGATTCAGGGTCGAAATCCGAATCACAGATGTATGTTTGTGCTCACGAGAGGCAGACAACACATTTGGATTTCCTTCCAGGTGAAAACAAGTGCTGACTCTGCAAGAAATTGAGATTTTTTTCCATATGCAAAGATGGTTGTCCGAGTGTTTATTTTAAATTTGCCCATAAATAATTAATCATTTTTGTTCATTAAAAACTATTTTGATTCCAGATGTGGCTAGCCAATGCTTTTGCAAGTCTCAAGTCTTTCAAATTAATTCTAGTCAATTCCAAGTCTTAAATTTATGGTTTTGAGTTCTAAACAAGTCCTTCAAGAACACAAAAAGCAAATATTTGAGGAAAAAACGGAGTTATTCCTAATATGTGTATTTATAACAAAGATTTAATAATGAATGTCTTGTTTAATATTCTTTAAATGTTTGCTATTTGTAAAATATCAAGTCACGAGTCATCCCTAACAGGTCACACGTCTTTACATTTAAATGATATAGTTCGTTTAGTTAATTTGACTCATTTTAACGTTTTATTGAGTATTTTTGTTGTTTATTTTCAAATCATTAGAAATCAGTTATTTTAAGTCATCTGACTCGACCACTTGACTTCACAAGTCACAGGTATTTCCATGAAGTAAGAGTTGTTCTTGGAAAGTTATTTTAGTTTGCAAATAATTAAAGTAAACATGATTAAATTCAAGTCAAAACCCAAAAGCAAGTCAAGTCCGAGTGTTAAACCTTCATTCTGAATCCTAAACAAAACATTCCTCCTGGATTTCTGAATTTTCCACATGAATTCCAATTTATTTGCATAACTTAACTATCAGATATGTCTATTTTATTTTAGGTTATCAGACATTTTCAACTCAATAACGCGGAGTACCAAGTCATTTTCATGTTAAGTGAGCCAAGTCAATTAAATTGAGGCTGAGTCCTAGTCACGTGACTCAAGAGTGCACACCTCTGCTTGATTATATAAATGTGCTAATAATAACCCAATATAGACCTTTTTTCAGTTTTTGCAACAAACTGTTGTTATTTTTTAAAACACGCAGACTTATTTTGTTATTCAGCCGTTTGCCTCAAGTCTCAGTCAGCAATCTGAAAATATCTGGAACTGATGATGTAAAGAGGAATGAAAGAGCGGGCCCTGCACAGAGGGTTGTTATTTGGTGAGTGCGTGTTATTGAGTTGGGAGGGCAGGGGGCTCAACCAATGAGCGCTAGGCAGTTCGTCCACGTGACCACCCCCTCCTCTCCCATTCATCAGGGCTGGGACTGTGTTGTCTTTTCAATTCATTTATCTGCAGGAATGATTGCGACTATCAGTCTAGAGCTCACCGCCTGGCTGAGGAGGTGAAAGTTGCGCCACAGGAAGATAAACCGCAAAAAGACAATATTGCATGTATACAAGCGGGCTTTTTTGCGTGCGCATCGGATGAGCGGTGTAGAGGAATTCCTCGCGTCGCTGAAAAAGAAAGCAGAAAGAAAACAAATCTGTGGATTAGAGTTATCTCAGTCTGGTTGGGGTAAGAAGAGATAACAGCAGAGGAGAGGAGAGGGAGGAAGAATATCTGCGCGTGTTTTTTTGGTTTCTGCTCTCAGTCGTCTCGGCGAGTCTAGACTGAAGATGCTCCTGGACGCAGGACCGCAGTATCCCACCATAGGAGTCACTACTTTCGGCTCCTCGCGGCATCACTCAACAGGCGAAGTGGCGGAGAGGGAAGTGGCGCTGGGGATCAACCCGTTCGCGGACGGGATGGGCGCCTTCAAAATAAACCACAGCTCTCATGACATCGGCTCCGGACAGACGGCGTTTTCCTCCCAGGCTCCGGGCTACGCGGCGGCCGCCTTGGGACACCACCACCACCACCCGGCGCACGTCGGCTCCTACTCCACGGCGGCTTTTAACTCCACCAGGGACTTTTTGTTCAGAAATCGGGGATTCGGGGAAGCCACCGGCGCGCAGCACAGCCTGTTCGCCTCCGGGAGTTTCGCAGGGCCACACGGACACTCAGATGCAGCGGGGCACCTGCTCTTCCCTGGACTCCACGAGCAAGCGGCGAGCCACGCGTCCTCCAATGTGGTCAACAGCCAGATGAGGCTGGGCTTCTCTGGGGACATGTACGGCCGGGCCGACCAGTACGGCCACGTTACGAGCCCGCGTTCCGACCACTACGCCTCCACCCAGCTGCACGGCTACGGACCCATGAACATGAATATGGCCGCGCACCACGGAGCGGGGGCCTTCTTCCGATACATGCGGCAGCCCATCAAGCAAGAGCTCATCTGCAAGTGGATCGAACCGGAGCAGCTATCCAACCCCAAAAAGTCGTGCAACAAAACTTTCAGCACCATGCACGAGCTGGTGACCCATCTTACGGTGGAGCACGTGGGGGGGCCGGAGCAGACCAACCACATCTGCTTCTGGGAGGACTGCTCCAGAGAGGGGAAGCCGTTCAAAGCAAAATACAAACTTGTGAATCACATCCGCGTGCACACCGGAGAGAAGCCGTTTCCCTGCCCGTTCCCCGGATGTGGCAAAGTGTTTGCGCGATCGGAAAATCTAAAAATTCACAAAAGGACTCACACGGGTAAGAATAAACGAAACAAAGATTCCATTCTGCTAAATCAAAGCTGTCAATATCTGATCTAAAACATGCATGAGATCCACTCCAGCTGGAATCTCCTCGCATGTGATTCACACCAGCTGCTGCAGAAATGGTTCTGTCCTTTTTATTTATTGGCTTTTGAATTAAAACGTTTATTTTCAGTAGATGCTCTGGAGGTTTTTGGGTAATTGTTTACAACGAGGATGGAATGCATTGTTAATCAATCAAAAATGACGACATGTTTGTCTTTAAACAGCCTTTTATGTTGTGTTATAGGTGAGAAGCCTTTTAAGTGTGAGTTTGAGGGCTGCGACAGGCGGTTCGCGAACAGCAGCGACCGTAAGAAACACATGCACGTCCACACGTCGGACAAGCCGTACCTCTGTAAAATGTGCGACAAGTCCTACACACACCCCAGCTCCCTGCGAAAACACATGAAGGTAAACAAAAACACTCCATTTGTTTATTTTTACTGTAATGACATTTAAACCTCATTTTTGAATATTTAAATAATTTAGAAAACGAATGTTTGTGCACATTTTGTTTATTCTAAAGAGAACTTAAGAAATGTCATGAACGCCTTAAATAAACATTTTAATTATTGCATTTGTTTTTGTGTTAATCAACATTTTTGCATATTTTTATAATAATGCAGGTCCACGAATCCACCAATCCGGGATCGCAGCCTTCTCCAGCGGCCAGTTCAGGGTACGAGTCGTCCACACCCCCCACCATCGTCTCCCCGTCCACAGAGAACCAGAGCAGCAGCTCCATATCACCAGCAGCCTCAGCAGTGCACCACACAGCCAGCCACAGCACGCTGTCGTCAAATTTCAATGAATGGTACGTGTAAATATTTTTAAAAAAGGGAGAAAAAAAGAAAAAAGAGGAGAAAAGACTGCAGGAATAATGAGAAAATGGAAAAAACGGGACTCTAAAGTCAGGAAGATGGACTGACAAATCACAGAGAAGTTAAAGACTGTATTAAAATGTGAAAGAGAAATGCACGGACTCTTCCTCCTCCTCTTCCTCCTTCCTTTTCCCCTCCTCCCCAATATTTCTTCGAGTCTTTATTTTTCCTGAGAGACTGCACAAAAACAAAAAATTGCATGCTATCTCCGAGGCCTGGATTTTTGTACATATCAGCAAGCTGAGGGAGCAAAAATGTAATATTTTATTTTGTAAATATCACAGTTTAAAGGGGGGGATTTGTTGGGGGAAAAAAGAAAACAGGAAAAAAGGTGGTTCCTAGATTTATGGAGATGGTTTTACGAAATATCGCGATGAATAGGCTTTCTGGTTGCTGCAGAATGTTATAGTTGTGTACCAAAATGTGAATTTATTCAGTATTACTCCAGTCTACACGTCGACCTAACCGACTCCTAGTATTAAATGTGCTTTTTGTAGCCTATCCAGTGCAACATTTTAATTTTATTTTTATTTTTTTATTATTTCTATTCGTCCAAGGTCCCGTTTTGAGTAGCACAAGTATCATTGTTGTTATTTAATGTCATGTCGATAAAAAAATCGTGTAGTGGAAGCCTGAAATGTCGATCTGTTTATGTACGTGATAAATATACAAAAAAAAAAATCTGTCAATTTGCTTTGTCTGAAAGGAAGTAATCTGATTACATGTAAAGTAGCTCAATTTTCCATATTTATCCGCATGTAAAAGGGCCGGTAACATGTTAGAAATGATCGGTATTTATGGAGAAATGCGCTCGTGTGTAAAATTTAGTTTACAAGGAGAAAAAAACATGTTTGGATACATTTCGTACTACATTAAAGGATTCAAAAAACACTATTTGGTTTGGTTTTAACGTGGATTATGTGTCAAATTCATGACTTTGTATTTAAAAAGTATCTTTTTTCTTGAAGGAAGGGGGAAATCGGACGATTTGCGCATTTTGGACTGTTTGTGTGTGTGTGTGTGTGTGTGTGCGCGCGCGCGCGCGCGCGCGTGTGTGTGTGTGTGTGTGTGTTCCAACTTCAGTGACACTCGATAATAACTAAATCCCCCCTTTCTGTGTTCTTCTGTTTATCCAAAATTAACATCCACCGCTTTGCCCTGCAGTAATGTGCAAATTAAATTGATTAATCACGGCTGTTGTTCCTCGGTGGATAAACCGGAGGAAGCTATTTTGCGTTACTTAATTGTTCGCAAATCTAATTTTCAAATCTAATTTATTTTCTTTTTCGCTCCCATGTTGGTTTTTTCTTTCTTTCTTGTGATTTCGCAGGTTTTCCTTACAGATCCTAAAGAAATGTGTGTGTGTGCGTGTGTGTGCGCGCGCGCACCCCCCCCCCCCCCCTCACACACACACACATTTCATTGTTCCTGCTGCAGCTTGCTTGACCGCCCCATTAGGCAGAGATCATATCAGCACTGATCATGGTTAACACTGCCAGTGTGCTCAGATCCACCGATCTGTCAGTCTGCTGCCTTTTTTCCCCCATAAAGAAAAGAACAAAAAATCTGCACCAACCCCAAAAAAATTCCAAAATGCCCCAAAAGCTGTTTTTTAATTCGTTGCAATAAATATATATATATATATTTAAATATAGAGGAAAAAACCCAAATCCTCATCCTAAATGGTTAAAAATGTATTGAGATGTATTCATATTTTCTTTTCACGGACTATTACATGTGGAGATAAATGAAGGATGGCGATAGAATGACTTCTTTCGACTCTATTTAACACTATCTATCTGTGCAGATGCTCCACTGATGCACTGCAAGGGAGACAAAATGGGAAAGGGGGAGTCTGAATAGGTTTGAGGAACTCTGGGGAAAATGTTCACGTTTATTTGGGAATATTAATAGTTGTAAAAGACTTAACCTTCAATTTTGTTGAGATCAGCTTTAGTTTTATACCCGTTGTGTTAGTTAACATTAAACATTTTATTTTGATTTTTTAGTATTGTTATTTTTAATATTTATAGAATCGCAAATATTTAAATAAAATTTACATTTTGGGAAGAAAAATGCCAAATATATTTCTAGTGGGAAATAAATTCCTAGAATCATTTGTTTGATTTTATTTCCTCCACTGGTTGCAAGAAATCTTACTTTTATTTTAACTCCAACAAAACAAAACGAAGAAGTCGCAGCCTTTTAGCCGAGACACTGCTGAACGCAGAGCATTAACCGTGTCGCTTAACTTCTACTTTATGGCTCCTGGCTGTCGCGTCACTTTGCACCGAATCTCCTCACGGAGAGGAAACTAAAACGCTCGTAAAAGGACGCGTGGAGGGCACGATGCGCAGATGCCAACGACTCCGGATCAGACAGGAGCGCGGAGAGAAAATAAAAATAAAAGACAGATCCACTTCAGATGTATTTACGCTGCAGCCTGGTAATGACAGCCGCTCGGATGTCTGGAGAAGCGCAAAGCGCCTGCATCATGAATATTTATCAGCAGCACTTGTGGCCAGTAAACCGAGCCTGACGTTGGCGTTTCCGCGGCTCATCATATCAGACGTGGAGGCTCAGCTCTTCCTGCTTGTAGAATTGTGTTTGACAACAAACAACACGTCAGGAATGAAGACGCGCACTTAAGTTCTGGTTTTGGATCACGTGTGTCCGTGCGTAAATGTGTGCATATAAATGTATTCTTTCTTTTTCATTAGCCCCTGCAGGATTTCATTTATGAGTCTAATTTTAAGAGCAAAATCATCATCTATAATAATAATAATAATAATAATAATAATAATAATAATAATAATAATAATAATAATAATAATAACAACAATAATAATAATAATGCTCTGATCATTTAAATGGGTTTTTATTAGAAGTGGTCACGTGGTTTCTACTTTTAAACCACAAAAATAAAAAAATAAAACTCTTATAATTGCAACACCAGCAGTTGGGGCAACATAGTTTTTTTCTCTCCAAAAGTTCGAACCCGAGTCAAGGCCACTTTACTTGCCTTTACTGACCTTATTTTCTTATTTCTGTTGCCTTTAAATTTGATAAATAAACAAACTACAGAGTGAGTTTGCAGATTTATAAACTGTGCTGCGCAAGTGCTTGCAGCAATCCGTATTATTATATTATCTAAATGCTATTTTCTCCTCTTAAGATTTAGATACATGTCAGGCATCTGAAGCTGAAACGTCATTCACGGGGACTTCCGGTGCACGTGAAACTTCATAAACCACAGGTTTTAGATGGGTTTTTATTTGAAATCCAGTTTGTTTGGATTCATGTTTTTGTTTCTTTGTCAACTTTTAGTTATTTCTGCTGATCCATGCTGGATCTCAAGTTGATCTTCTTTTATTATTTATCTATTTAACTACATCTCTAATTGGGACATTCGTCTCCAAATCTTTTTTTTTTGGGGGGGGGGGGGGGGGGGGATTGCACGCGGAGCTGAGGGGTTCGTTATAGTGAAACATCGGCTCACGGTGACCCCCATCGCATCAGTTGTGAGATGTGACACGCCATTAAGTTGAGACCACGGAGATTTGTGGGGGCGCTGACACGGTGTTGTCGCCCCCTCCCACCTCCACCCCTCCTCTGTGTGTTTTTTTTTTATTTTTTGACGTGTTGCTAAATGAGGCCACTCCAATTAGCGCTCTGCTGCGGGGGTGAGACCGCTGCACACCTCTGGAGCCTCGGAAAACAAACACTCCGCTCCATTCTCCACGTTTTGTTTTTTCTTTTTTTCCCCAAAAATGAATTTAAAATCACAAGATACGTGTTATTACTCAATCACTGAAGCCTCTTTGTGACGTTTGGGGACATCTGATATCAGAAAAAGGCACTTCCGGTTCCAATTCCTCACAGATTTAACCCTTTTTTATCCTATTTTCTCCCTACAAACAAACTTTTTAGATTATTAATGAAGAATTAGCAAAATAAACAACATTTACACTCTAAAACTGCTGGTTTAAACAAACTACACTGAAGGAAATGTCACATTGAGTTTTACTTTACCAAGTTATGTCAACTGGTTCCATTAATCCTAGATGCTTAAAGAGTAATATATTTAAAGTAAATGCATATTACTCTTTACTATTACTCTTGAGCCAGCACAGTGGCCTAGTGGTAGAGTGTCTGCCCTGGCACTGCGAGATCGGGGTTTGATTCCCGGTCGGGTCATACCAAAGTCTTTTTAAAAACGGGGTCCCAGTGCCTCCCTGCTTCACACTCAGCTTTTTGGATTGGGTTAAACCACTAAATAGTCCCCGAGTGCAGCCACCGCTCCCCTCCACGGGGATGGGTCCAATGTGAAGATGCATTTCACCAGTGTGTGATGACTATGGGACTTTAACTTTATGTTTAAAAAACTAGGATTGGTGGAACCAGCTGACTTATGTTGGTTAAGTAAATTCAATGAATCCTTTCTTACAGTGTAGTTTGTCTCTTTTTACTAACCAAACAACGAGGCTCAGGTTTAAAGCAAATAAATGACCTAAAGTTGGTTTAAATGACAAAAGATGGTTAAAATAACCATAATATGAAATCACATCAGTATTATTTACATTACAAACCTTTGATCAAATAATGGGTTTTCTATAGTTCTGTTAAAAACTGTAAATTTCACTTATTTCACATACAAAAATATTTCATTTATTAATATTATTTATTCATGTTTTGTCTAAACTACCAAACCCATTTAGAAAGGTTCAAAATTCAACATTTTCAAATCTAAACTTGGTCATGTGACCTAAAGCCTTAAGTAATGAACTCATCAGTCACCACAGTTTGATTTAATGTGCTCTGATCTCAAAATAAGATACATATGGCGCATTAATGTGGTGTTCGAAGCAGAGAGAGCAGCTTGTGAACATCTGTTTTATCTGAAGAGTCTGAAAACGACTTCGCGCCCACTTCCCAACCAGGATGACCAGCAAAGATAATCAGGCACAGATTCCCGTCGATCCAATCCACATCAAGATGCTTTTGTCAAAGTCGTGTTGGCCTGAAGAAAGAAAACGGGACTAAGTCTTGGAATATTTAAAAAACATTTGCAACAGCGGGGACCAATAGAACAGCCTTTTGTCTCTGATCTTGCTGCATATCTGTTTGTATTCAACACTCTTGAGTAATCTGTCACTTTTATGCAAAATGCATCTGATTACAGGTGGAAAACCTGTTTGTTTTTTCCAACATTTGGTCTCAGTTCATTTAGAAGCCACACTTGCAGATGTATTTAATTAATGTTAATTTGAATCCACAATTTCAGTAAAACCAGATTCTGAACCCGGTTCAAAGGTCAGAAACATAATTTTTATAACTAAATCTTCACTCTTCCTTCTACACAACCCCTCATAGCAGGCCTGGCTCTTCCTCTTCTGCCTTTTTCCATGTGGGATGCGGCCCAAGCTCTTGGAATAGTTTTCAAAGGGCAATAAATAGAAGTTGTTATGCCTGCCTTGTGTTTCGAGTGCATGAAATAGAAATGGATTTTGTTTTCTTCCTCCCTTGTGAGTCAGTCGTTCCAGCGAGGAAAAAAGCAGAAAAAACGCGTGCAAAGAAGCAAATAACTCCCCCGTGCAAACATTTCTGCAGCTATTTCAATGTTTATGTTCTAAGCTTTACAGATTTTCTTTTTCATCTTGAAATCATCAGTTGGATTTGTCTTTGGCTCGTTGTTCTCCATCAAACCCGAGCTCTGATTTTATTTGTTGTGAGGGTTTTTGGATGTTTTCCACTCATTTCTGATCTCAGGCCTGCTCAGAGTCGCAATAAATCCTTAATCTGTAAAGTGAAATCCTCTGATTTTCTGGAAGTGTGCGGAGAGCCAGAAGCATATCATCGCTGCATATTTTATTTCCTGACCTTCCAACATT